CGGGTTCACACCATTCTCCCTCCTCAGCCTCCCGAATAGCTGGGACTACAGGCGCCCACCACCACGCCCGGCTAATTTTTTTTTTTTTTTTTTTTTTGTAGTTTTAGTAGAAACGGGGTTTCACCGTGTTAGCCAGGATGGTCTCAATCTGCTGACCTCGTGATCCACCCAAAGTGCTGGGATTACAGGCGTGAGCCACCGCGCCCGGCCTGAGCCCTGGCAGTCTTGACTGGGGCATCCGTTGTACAGCGGTTATGCCATGGATCATGAGTCAGCCTGATTTTCTGAGAGCATGTTTTGGGACCAGTGAAGGTCCAGAGGACTTTCTGGAAACCTTTTAGGCGGGGGTAGAGAGGGTGCTGCTTGGATGTCACATGGTTGATACAAGTGCGTTTCTGGCCTGCCACATTTGAGGTGTGCCTTGGTGACCAGGTCCTAAGCAATGCGAATGGCTTCCTGTCTTTACCAGCCAAGAAGTATGATGCGTTTTTGGCCTCAGAGTCTCTGATCAAGCAGATTCCACGAATCCTCGGCCCAGGCCTAAATAAGGCAGGAAAGTTCCCTTCCCTGCTCACACACAACGAAAACATGGTGGCCAAAGTGGATGAGGTGAAGTCCACAATCAAGTTCCAAATGAAGAAGGTGAGGGGGTCTGGTGGGTTGCTGTGGGTGAAGGTGTTGGCGGGATTTAAATCTTACCCAAGTCTCTAAATATGCCGGTGAGAGCGCCCACCAGGATTGAAATTTTTGGAGTAACCCTGGTCCTTCCTTGGCCCGGGTCCAAGTTTCTGCTCACCAGGCCAGTGGGGGAGGGACAGGCCATTTGCCATTCCTCCACCAACCTGACTTGATCCTCTCTTCTGTCCTCCCAGGTGTTATGTCTGGCTGTAGCTGTTGGTCACGTGAAGATGACAGACGATGAGCTTGTGTATAACATTCACCTGGCTGTCAACTTCTTGGTGTCATTGCTCAAGAAAAACTGGCAGAATGTCCGGGCCTTATATATCAAGAGCACCATGGGCAAGCCCCAGCGCCTATATTAAGGCACATTTGAATAAATTCTGTTACCAGTCCCCTCTGTCTGCCTGTGATTGAGGGTGAGGGGTGGTTTGTCAGCTTACAAGTGAGGGCCTTGGCACTGCCATGGCTTGTTGTGTAGTTTGTCATCTTGATGATGGATAGTTGGGTACTATAGGGAAGAGGATGTTTTTCTGCCATCAAAATTAGGCAGTCTTGGGTATGTGATAGGGTGCTAACGGCATTGAAGCTTTTTGACAGGATTGGTCCATGTAAATTTAAGGATTTTAGTCAGCATTTCTGTCTTAACAAGGCCCCACATGGAGTATCCTATGCTTTAGGTCAGTAATGAGTAAATGTTAAGGAAAAAAAACAAGGCACACAGCAAAACAGTACAAATAATAATAACGACTGCGTTGGGTTGTTTTTTTTTTGAGATGAGTCTGTACCCCCCCCTGCAATCTCTGGGTCCCAGCAAGCATATTCTGCCCAATCACCTCCCAAACAGCTGGATTACAGGCAACCCGCCACCTGCCCAGCTAATTTTTCTATTTTTAGTAAATCGGGTTTCACCATGGGCAGGCTGGTCTCCTGGCCTCATGACTGCCGCTTGGCCTCCCAAAGACTGGATTACAAGATGAGCACGTCCCCACCAGATCCTTTAATTTTTCTAGGGAACCAACCAGATCCAGTCCTTGCCCCAGGCAGGCTAAAGCCCCTCCTTTTTTCGAGGCATTTCCCTGTTGGCATTCTTGCCCTCTAGCACCCAGTACTGAAAAGGTTGCTTTTGGGAGATACCTGCTAACTTTAGACAAAATCAGCTTTGTACTGTTTTCACGACCCATTTCACCCTGCTTTTGTCTTTTTTTTGGGGAACAGTTCCTTTGGGTTGCCCAGGCTGAGTGCAGTGCACACATCCAAACCACGCAAGCTCACTTCTGGGTTCCACCACCATTCTCAGCCTGTCTCAGCCTTCCAGCAGAAAGTAGCTGAACTAACAGCACATGCACACACCTGGCTAATTATTTGTGATTTTAATAATGGGGTTTTACTGTACAGGAT